CTTCTACTCTGTGCACGGTTATGAACGGTGTCACATATTACTGAAAGTTAATGGCTGCAGCGAATACAAAAACGAGGTGTATAGACTAAAATGAGTCATGATACTAATTGCAACTAAAATAAATGTGAAGTTCAATAAAAAAAAAAGAAAAAAAAAGTGACTCCAAGGACATATTCAGTGAAGAAAATACTTTTGCTTTCTGTATATAGATTTCTTTCCTATTGACTTATTTTATCTCATTGGGATACGCATGTGTAATTCTAGTTGCATTTCCTTATTATTTCATCATATCAACATTAATAGAAACTTGCAAAAGATTTTTTTTCTAAGCAGACACCTCCCCTAAAGAGAAATGAAAAAGGAAAAACGAAAACGTTCTTGTGCACAACGGTTTGCAACACCATCCGCGAACGTTTCTGCTCGTCCGCCTTCGGGATCAGTCAAGTGGTGTCATCTTTCGCCATCTTCGAGATTCGCATAATTCTAGCGTTCGATTCCCTCTCCGCCAGACCAGTTCTTCCCCTTGGCTTGCTTTGCACATGCTCTTACGTGCGATGGACCGGGAAGAACAGGCAGTCTCCTGGGGGTGGGTTTGGGGGGGGGGACACACGTATTGGGCTTTATTCAAAGTCGATTGCTTGAGGAACATCTTCGGATCATGTATATATGTATTCGTGAACAAGCGCACGCACACACACACACACACACACACACACACACACACACACACACACACACACACACACACACACACACACACACACCACACCACACACACACGTTTATATATATCGTTTCTTAAAACTGGATCTTGTTTAGTAGCTTCTGCCCATGACATTGCAGTGCAGACCCTTTCTTGGCCCAAGAATGTTCGCAAATGCAACAAAACAGTCAGGTAACATAGTGTGTAATTTCCATGGATAAGACGAGAAAAAAAAATAATAAAAGAAATAGTAACCTGAGAAATTTTGCGTTGCCTTTTGCGTAATTCTGCATTGACATATGAGTAATCTTGTGTTGCCATATGTGTTCACGTTCCGCCTTCGTCACGCGTGATTTTGTGTCAACCTTCATCGAGGCGGCGCGACTGAGTTATTGACATTGGGTAAGTTAGCGGTTTGGGATTGCTAGAAGGCGAGAGACGATTAATCCCTAGCGTTTTGTAAAGACGATGCACTGATGTGAATATTTCTAAACGGCCTTCTTTCGTTTTTTTTTTTTTTTTTTTTTTTTTTTTTGGTGTGGGTGGGTGGGATTTCGATGTATGGAATGTCAATGAAAATCGTAGGGTTGGCCGTGACGAGCGAGAAACCGCTAAGCACCGGAAGCAGTTAGTGCTAGAAAGCGAAAACTCCTGAAGAGCTCGTTTGGCCTCGACGAATGAAACTGCCCTGATCTCACTAAAATCATTTCTTGAAATTCCTTCTCAGAATTTGACTAGTTTCTTTTGTTTTTCTTCTCTTTTCTCTTGAGGTTTCTGAACTTTCTCAGATGTAGCTACTTTGCTGCTACATCGCTACTTGCCTTTAAGTAATTTACAATGAGAGATTCTCGCGCTTATGGCATCGTAAATGCCGTAAATTCGCGTAAATGCCATGAGGAAAAACGTCTCTTTAACCTCAAGAAACGGACAAACTGCTCGTCACGATCTTTCGCAAGAAGGCGTAAAACACTCGCATATTCAAGCCCAAAAGTTAATCAGAGGCCGGCCTTCCCACAAAGTCACGCCAACATAAAGGCGATTTTCAGTGCGTGGAGAACGAACAGTGCGTCTTACTGAACGAGCGATACGCAGACGACTACCTGCGTAATCATTGCAAGAGGGCGATGTAGAATGACCTGCAGATTTTTTTTTCCTTTCTTTTTAATCTTGTAATCTCTCGACACGCTTTGTAATTCTACAGATATCTTTATACGTTTATAAACTGCTCACATGCATACATGTGTGTGTGTGTGTGTGTGTGCATCTGTAAACGTGTATGTGTGTGCATATGTATACGTGTCTGTGTGTGTTTGTATGTATGTGTATGTATGTTTGTGTGTGTGTGATATATATATACATATACAAACATATATTGTATATACATATTTATCTACTGTATATATCAATCATACATATATATAAATCATGAATATATATGCATATAACTATATATAAATGTGTGTGTGTATGTTTGTTGGCGTATGCCTGTGTGTGTATGTGTGCGTGTGTGTGTGTACTCTCTCTCTCTCTCTCTCTCTCTCTCTCTCTCTCTCTCTCTCTCTCTCTCTCTCTCTCTTTCTCTCTCTCTCTCTCTCTCTCTCTCTCTCTCTCTCTCTCTCTCTCTCTCTCTCTCCGTCTCTCTCCGTCTCTCTCTCTCTCTCTCTCTCTCTCTCTCTCTCTCTCTCTCTCTCTCTCTCTCTCTCTCTCTCTCTCTCTCTCTCTCTCTCTCTCTCTCTCTCTCTCTCTCTCTCTCTCTCTCTCTCTCTCTCTCTCTCTCTCTCTCTCTCTCTCTCTCTCTCTCTCTCTCTCTCTCTCTCCTCTCTCTCTCTCTCTCTCTCTCTCTCTCTCTCTCTCTCTCTCTCTCTCTCTCTCTCTCTCTCTCTCTCTCTCTCTCTCTCTCTCTCTCTCTCTCTCTCTCTCTCTCTCCCAGGGAGCATAATATCCTTAGCAAGAAGAGGCGGATGAAGGGCTGGAGGGAAGGAGAGGTGATGGAGCAGGGCCTGCGATCATTACACAGGAGCGTAAGAGTCATGCTATGCGGAAACGCATGATGCTTCATGTTGGTAGTGGGTCAGTCTTTCGCCATTCGGAAGCTCTGTCTGGTTGGAGGCTGGGTGCTCACACGTCGCGGAGGCTTAGCGACTTCATCAGCAGGTCTGGTCATCTAGTCATTTAGTCATCTTGGTCGCTTACTCTAGTGAATGGGTCTAACGGTAAGATTTACGTTATGAAATGGTTTTGCTGTTTGTTTCATTTGTTAGTTTGCTGTAGAAGGCACTTGGAGAGGCGCGTTTTTTTAGGGCGTCAGAATTTGGAAAGTAAATTACCGGATATGACGCACCACGTAAATCTGTGCACTCTTGGTAGATAGAAAAGTAACCAGTTAAGTCTCACGGCTCATCTGGGCGATAAAGTCCTCTCGGGTCAGCCCACACCGCATGGAGAAGTTGCACAGATAGAGGGGCGCGTGATTGGACTTTATTCCCAAATGAGTGATCGAGACGCGGGGGTTCCAATCACCGCTGCTCTAATCTGTGGAATTTCTCTTTGCAGGATGTGGCGCTTGACGGCGACGCTGCTGCTGCTGGCTCTGGCCACGGCCGAACCCCAGGGAGGTTACTTGCCTCCGCCGCCAACGAACCCCACCTGTCCTGTATTCACCTCAGTGGTCTACGACGCTCAGATTCAGACCTCTGTCAACGTCCAGGTTGTCAACCAGGCCAATACCCAGTATATTACCACTACAGTAGTTAGCCAACAGATCATACCGACTACCTTCATCAGAACTCGATACTTCACAAATACTCAGTTCCAGACAAGTATTATCCAACAGACAACCACAGTTTTCGACAACAGGGTTGCGACACAAACCATTCCGGGTCAGGCAGTCCAGCAGACACGCTACGTCACATCCACTCGCGTCGTCCCCCAAGTCAGCTACGTCACGCAGACAGTGACGCAGACTCAGGTGGTGCCGGTAGAAGTCACACGCACGCAAGTACAGACCATCAACAGACCCTTCACAGAGCTTCTGACGCAGACGACCCGCGAAACCCGTCTCGTCACGGTACCAGGACGCGACGTGATCCGAACCCGCGTCCAAACCCGCCTGATGACCTCCGTTATCAGGCAGCAGCAGCAGGGCAATACTCGCTACGTCACCTCGACCCGCATCCAGCAGGAGGTGCAGACCCGCTTCGTCCCGGGCCAGAATGTGGTGAGCACCACGGTGGTGCGCCGCGAGCAGGTCATCCCGTACACAGACGTGACCACGCGCTTCTCCAACGCCGTCGTCACCCGAGAGCAGGTCATCACGCGAACCAACTACGACACGCAGACCCGCGTCCAGACACAGGTGGTGCCTCAGGAGGTCGTTCGCACCCAGGTGGTCCCGACCACCATCTTCACCACACGCTTCGAAACCCGATTCCAGCCGTTCACGCAGGTGCAGACGGTGACGAGCACCGCCTTCAGAACAGGTCCCGCGGTGGTGCAGACCCGCGAGCAGACCCAGACGTCCGTGGTTCAGGCTCCGGGTCAGGACCGGGTCATTACCAGCGAGGTCGTCCAGACTTCGGTGCGACAGCAGGTCATATTCCAGACGGTCGGTAACGCGCAGCAGGTGACTGTCACAAGAACGGTGACCGCTTCCTGTGGCCAGGCTGGAGGTGGGGTTGGTGGATCAGGTGGAGGTGGATTCGGTGGAGTAGGTGGATCAAGCGGCAGTGGATTCGGTGGAGCAGGTGGAAGTGGATTCGGTGGAGCAGGTGGAAGCGGATTTGGTGGATCAAGCGGAAGTGGATTCGGTGGAGCAGGTGGAAGTGGATTTGGTGGTGTTGGTGGATCAGGAGGATTTGGTGGAGTTGGTGGGAGCGGTTTTGGTGGATCAAGCGGAGGTGGATTTGGTGGATCAAGTGGAAGCGGATTTGGTGGATCAAGTGGAAGTGGATTTGTTGGAGTAGGTGGAAGCGGTTTTGGTGGATCAAGCGGAAGTGGATTTGGTGGATCAAGCGGAAGCGGATTTGGTGGAGTAGGTGGAAGCGGTTTTGGTGGATCCAGCGGAAGTGGATTTGGTGGAAGCGGAGTTGGTGGAGTAGGTGGAAGTGGATATGGCGGGGTTGGCGGGTCAGGCGGAAGTGGATTTAGTGGTGTAGGTGGATCTGGTGGAAGCGGTTTTGGTGGAGTAGGTGGAAGTGGATTTGGTGGTCTAGGAGGAGGAGGAGGAGGAGGTGGATCTTTTGGCGGCCAAGGCGGATACAGTTACAACTACCCGAGGAACCCCCTGCCCATTGGATAA